ATCGGGGGGAAAGCGAAAACCGGAAGCCGCTGAGACGACAAAGAGAGTTGCCGGTAGTTTCAAGCGAAACCCTAACCTCTCTCTCCGAGATGCCGCAAATAAGCTGGGTGTATCGTCTACAACCGTGCATCGAGCCAAAAAACGAGCCGGACTATCGACTTACAAGAAGGTAGTGACTCCAAATCGCGATGATAAACAAAATACGACGGCCAAAGCGCGATCCCGGAGGCTGTACACGACGATGCTGACGAAGTTTGACTGCGTGGTAATGGACGACGAAACCTACGTCAAAGCCGACTACAAGCAGCTTCCGGGACAGGAGTTTTATACGGCAAAAGGAAGGGGAAAGGTAGCAGATGTTTTCAAGCACATGAAACTGTCAAAGTTCGCAAAGAAATATCTGGTTTGGCAAGCCATCTGTACCTGTGGCTTGAAAAGCAGCATTTTCATAGCTTCCGGGACTGTCAACCAAGAAATTTACGTGAAAGAGTGTTTGAATAAACGTCTGCTGCCTTTCCTGAAGAAACACGGTTGTTCCGTACAGTTTTGGCCGGATTTGGCATCTTGCCATTACGGTAAAAAGGCCATGGAGTGGTACGCCGCCAACAACGTGCAGGTGGTTCCCAAGGACAAGAACCCTCCCAACACGCCAGAGCTCCGCCCAATTGAGAAATACTGGGCTATTGTCAAGCGGAACCTAAAGAAGACCAAAAAAACTGCTAAGGGTGAGCAGCAGTTCAAGGCAAACTGGCTACAAAATCTGATGGCAGGGGTCAAGCGTAAGGCCCGGCAATTCGGATTTGGAAAAGCGGAAACCTAACTGAATATTTTTCCTGAATTTTATACTAATTGAACTTGAAAAAGAAATTTAATTTGATTTTTTAAATAAACGATTTCACCGATTTACACGCGTTTTCCCTTGACCAAATTTTGACCGTATCACCCTTTACATTCCATAAGACAAACCACATAGTTCCTATAAGAATGCATAAAAGGTATGTGTGACAACTTATACATTTCATTTGACATATGATCTTCATTAACTTTTTCCAAGGCGTCTGCTTATTAGTTGACTTATACATTTTATGAATAATCAGCCATTGAAATTTGCCAAAAAGTATAAGGAGATTTCTATCCGTGTATGCTTCTGGATATGGAAAGGCTAAAAGCAAACAAGAAGCGTTCATTTCCTCGCATACTCGACTTCGTTTGCTTTTTTCTGCTGGAGAGAATCGAGGCAAGTGTGTGCGTCGTTGTACCATAGAGGTAACTCTAAAACTAGTAGGTCCCGAAAAAACGTGCTCAACTTTTTGGCTCAGCTCTGGTACTATCTTCGGTCCCAAGCTAATCGATGCACCCCTCGAAACATAGAATAATCCACGAACCCCTTATTTTATCTGTCAAACTTTCATAGCGAATCAAAACAAACATTGTGTAGTACTAGAATTTCGACTAGAATGGGGTACGTTAATCGATTTGCTTGGGACCAATAGGCTAGTCAAGTAGTGAGCCAATTTAAAATCGTTAGTTTCGTATTGATTATTGGTTGTACCATGTTATACATAAAAATCAAGGCAAATGCTTGCTTGTGTAGGTGAAAGCATATCCAGAACAATGAATAAAAAAAGATTAAAAATCATTGCATCGTCTGCAAGGGCAACATCTAACATTCGCTGCGATGTTCATGACGAGGTTCATGAACAGAGGATGATAGGAAATGGAATTAACATGCATTCTAATAAATTTTTGGTTTGCTTGTAGTATTAAAAATAAATTATTAAGTTTGGTGCATTTTTCAGAAGAATTGAATTGACAACGACTTCAAGTAATGAACAATCTTAATTGATAAAACCTCATTGTCCTCCTTTAATGTTAAGAAAAGGAAACATTGTCCTCTTTTATCTCCAAACCTAACCTTACCCTAACCCTTTTCAAGTTTTTGATATGGTAACCCGGTTGACTGGACTTGCTTCCAGTTTGCTATCGGTTAGCCACAGAATGGCGGTAGCGTTCTGAAGCGCGCCAACGAATCCTCGGGATCCCACTTCCGATCGGTATCGCCTGCCCTAACGGCGTTTATCGTGCCTGACGGAAAAAGTAAATGCCCGTCAGTGAGTTGAGATTTCCCCTTACCGGTTGTGATTAACGAGTTGCCGGTTGCTCTGGTATCCGCAACTGCAATGGCAAAACTACTTCCAACCGCTCGTTTGCTCTCGGCCAAATGTTTCCGATCGGTACCGCCTGCCCTGATATCGTTTGTCGTACCTGACGGTAGAGGTGAAAGGATTTCAGTGACGATATCAGGCGTAACATTTGGTAACGGCACAAAAGCTTTTGTAAACAAACTTTTTAAGGCCCTCTACACGCGGACCGTTTTTTTTTTTAAATTCGTGGCACATATGAATAGGAAATCAAGCAAAGATGGGACAATTAACCACTTCATTCGAGCAGGGTTACTTCCACTCACTTGCTATAAAAAAATGTTTTTCGGAATTATGAAATCATGAAATAGTATAATGTTAATTAGTACTTGTAAGTTACAAGAAAAGGTCATGATATATCATCGTCATATTTGACACATAAAATCTGTCAATATTGCTTTCAGTGCGTCACAATCAGCGATTTAACGACTCGTGAGCGATCACTCTGAGTGAACGCTCACGAATCACAAGATCGCTGATTGTGACGCTCTGAAAGCGAAATTGGCAGGTTTTATAAATCAAACACATACTTTACACCCTCTTCTTGTTACTTACAAGTACAACATATCATTATAACATCTAATGATTGCATAATTCCGAAAAATATTTTTTTATAGCAAGTGAGTGGAAGCAACCCTGCATTCGAGCAGTTAAAATGACATTTACTACCACTTGAACTTTGAAATAAAACATTATTTTGAGAACCACGAGAAAAGTAGCCAATATTTGTGCGTTTCATAAAAATATATAAATTAGTTGGTCCAGTTTTGTGAAATCGCTGGTAGAAAGTCACACCAAAACTGCTTGACAAAGTGGTCAATTCTAGATAGAGCTGGAATTAGGGCGTAACAGCTTTTGTAAACAATGACTTCTATCGATGATTTCTAGAAAGTTAAGTCTTGTCAACGCAAATCAAGAACACCACCTTGAGTTCTTAGAAATCATCGATAGAAGTAATTGTTTGCAAAGGCTGTTACGCCCTAATTCCAGCTCTATCTAGAATTATGCTTTTATGGGCAGCATAGTGCTGACATACTTTGATCATCACTGATTCAATGCTTACTAAGCCAACAGAAACATTAGCGGGGAAAGAAGACCCTGTTGAACTTGACTCTAGTCTGACATTGTAAGGCGATATAAGAGGTGCAGAATAATAGGTGGGAGCCATATTTTAATCACATGTGTGTTCAAAGTTGGGGCCTAATCAGTAAAGGCACGGTATTACCACAGACAAACAGACGTATCTCTTTGAATAAGTTTTTCTTGAAAAAAACATAGGACCTCGGTAAGGACGATTTCTAACGTCGAACATTCCCACTATTGTGCGAATACAGCGCACTATGTCCGACACTTTGGTTAACGTACAGAACAAGAGTAATAACGATTGTCGCCTATGCGGATTTCCGGTTTTCAACTGTACCGATAATATGACATGCAAGGTAAGCAGTATACATAGAAACATCAAAGTGATCCGATACCAGCAGTAGTTCGCGGAAATGAAAATTTTCAAAACAATCGTTAAATGCGTGAACGGTTATCCAGATTGATGGGTTACGCATATTTGTCTTTCGGGTTGGAAATTATCTCGACTTCTCTGAGTATTGAGTATCATTGTGCTGCCACACCTTATACACATTCATGCTTTGGCGTTGGCATGGAAAGCTCTCAATTAATAACTATGGAAGTGCATCCAGAACTCTAAAGCAATCCTCACACGCATAAATATATTGACGCGAAGGGGAATTATTGACAATAATATTGATGATGTGAATTCAGAAATATTGTCAATCTCAATGTATTGACGTCAATATAGAATGTATTGACAATACGATTATTGTCAATAAAAGCAATCGTGTAGGGTCCACTTAAGCCTAGCTGAAGAAGAATAAGAAGCGTGTCCAAAATGCTCGTGAATTTGGTAAAATCTAGATAGAGCTGGAATAAGGGCGAATGTCGCAAGTGTAAACAAACTGAGGTTAATACATCACGTTATACAACTATTAGAATGCTACAAAACGATACTAAAAATGTTTGGACAAATAATGTACTTTCTTAAAAAAACGAAAAAAACATAAGGGCGAAACCAACTTTTTTTTTATTACAAATTGAGTTGGCTCTTACGGCCGCTTCCTCCCATATACATAGATGGGGCGAAACAGACATATTTTCTCCATACAAGGCGAAAGATATAATTTGAATCTTTTCACTACTCCTTGCAATTACCGGTTGGTAATCAAAAGAAAATATTGTTAATCTGATCGAAATAAGCGAAAACACCCCAACACATGAATTTATCTAGAATCCAACAAACTGCAATAGGTCGATAGTAACAAACCACCAGGAAAAAGAACGTAAACATTGAGGCGAAACAGACAATGTCAAAAACTAGCAGGCGAAACATAGGGGCGAAATATCATCTGTGAACGCAGCCGGGCGAATAACCTCAAGGCGATACAAGATACTATAAATCAAAAGGGCACATGCAACATTTTCATTTTTTTCGAGCTGTAAATAAAAATAAAAATATTTTTATTTATCTCACCATAATGCTAACCAATAATGTAAGAATTAGGAACAGTTCATTTCTAGAAATGGGTTTAAAGTTTAAATTATATTTAATAATTTTTGTTCAAAACTTCAGACTCATTTTTCTCAGTTCAAGCCCATTGCGACATTGGCCCTAATTCCAGCTCTATCTAGAAATTTTATAATATTCTACGCTGCGTGTGCTATCTAAGACCCCTAAGAACATTTGTTTATAAGCCACCTTGATGAAAACATTTTTTTCCTACATTCCAGATATCCATCGGAGAGCTAACCTATTCGTTGATCTGCAAGAAATGCTACGAAAGCCTGGAACAGTTGCACCAGTTTCGGACTCGTTGTGCTCGTCAGAATATCTATCTCAACATGCGAAAATCGTTGGAACCGGATCGTAAACAACCACTTCGGTACAAGGACAATTGGTACTGGTACTCTTGTCTTGGCAACGGTATGAACTCCATAATTTGGGGTTGCAGTGTGGTGTGCTGCCCGGCGTTCATCGTTAGTCATCCTAGTGGAAAAATTTGTTCCAAGTATGCGAACCATCAACACAAGCAGAAGATGGAAGATGTCAAGTCGGTATACTGCCATGGCGAGTACATCTTCGATGGTTATCGGTATAGCTTCGAGATTATCAATTCGAATAGAACGCTGACGTTCATTTGTAGAAGCTTGCATGATCCTCATAGGACTTGCCCGGCAGTTTTGATCACCAACGATCGCAGTGAAGTCTTATCCGTTCGCAGCGTGCACAATCATAAGCGTGAAATCATTATAGAATCGGCGGTGAAAGACGGGTCAGATGGTGCGAAAAGATCGATTACGTTAATTCGCGGTATCAGTCAAGAGATTGTGTTCTGCCAAGGATTCTGGTACACAACGGTTTCGGAGCAGAGTAATATCTCTCACTGGAGTTGCATTAGACATGATTGTAGCAGCACGATCGCCATGGTAAACGGTATAGTGAAGTTCTTTGGAGCACACACGCACTTACCGGTTTTATTGAAATGGGGTGCTGAAGAAGACAAAACGATGGAACCCAAAGGTCCAACTCTGATGAAGGTGGTGAATCCATCGTCCTCTAAATCTGTGCAAGTCCGAGCGGTTCCTCCCGTAGCTTCCAGAGAGTCCACAACCATTGTTCACTCTAGGCATTCCGGGATTCTAAGCACAGCGAGAATATGCGAATCCGATGGAAAAGGGTTACCCAATGAGATTATTAATCCGCAGTCAGCAGTCGAAGATGAGCCCCTGTTGAGTACGATAAAGGTAGAGCCGACAAACGATTCTACAAATCCATTTGGTTCAACTCCAATAGTGAGAACTCCTGCTCCTATCAGCTCACTGCCTAATCAACCACTAATAATTTCAGCTGCGGCTATGGCTCCGAAAGCAACACATATCCCTAAAGTTTTTGTAAGATCCAATCACCCTATTCAAGTGGTAAAACGAACGAGTGCTACAACGGTACGAGTTGTCCCCCCACCACTCCAGAAGCAACCTGCTCCCCAAGTAGTGACTCCAAAACCATCCGTCCCCGTCTCAGAGCCACTTATTCCCAAAATTGTGCACGTCATGTCACTAAATTTGAATCATAGCTCCAACCAGCCAAAGCAGACTGTCCCAGAGCTGCCCGTTCCGCAACTTATGGCGGAACCCGAATTGGATGATTCGCAGCAAGTCATAAAACAAGAGCCACTGGACGAACCGGAAACCATTACAGATGAAATCCGACCTACGATGGTAACGTCAGCCCCGGGTACGGATGTTATGCGGAGGGAAGAGCTACCCAAACCTCCACCGCTCACACCGAGGCCAATGTTGTTGGTATCGTCGGCATCAGTGTTCTCCGATAATACGTTGAGCGTTACAACCCTTGATCCAGCGAGCAACGACGCCAGCTTCGAAAATGGCGGTTCTTCCCAGGAAACGGTGTCTGCCGATGAGGAAGAGGTAAGAATTGACGTTGTCTTCCTATATTTCGTATCATATCAAAGGCTCAAGAGAAGGGGAAATAAATGCGAAAGAATTAGGACCGGACTGCTAGGAAGCAGGGTTGCTTCCACTCACTTGCTATAAAAAAATGTTTTTTGGAATTATGAAATCATGAAATAGTATAATGCTAATTAGTACTTGTAAGTTACAAGAAGAGGTCAAGAAGTATGTGTTTGATACATAAAATCTGTCAATATTGCTTTCAGTGCGTCACAATCATCGATTTTACGACTCTCGAGCGCTCACTTTGAGTGAACGCTCACGAATCATAAGATAGCTGATTGTGACGCTCTGAAAGCGAAATTGACAGGTTTTATAAATCCAACACATACTTTACACCCTCTTCTTGTTACTTACAAGTACAACGTATCATTATAACATCTAATGATTGCATAATTCCGAAGAAATATTTTTTATAGTAAGTGAGTGGAAGCAACCCTGCTAGGAAGCTTCGGAAATTTCCACGACACTGGCAGGGAAGGTCAGTCATGGGAAGTTCAAAAGATTTCTAAGATGAACTTTTGGAGCTTTTGTGAAAAAGTTCAAATGTCTTTGTATTTATTATTCTGTAAATCGATGATTCCTCAAATATCGAGTTGAAGAGATTTGACTGTTACTGTACCCAGGAAGTCCTGTTGACGACTGTTGACGACTATCGAATATAACCATCTCGATTTTACGTCATTTCCCGGAAAGTAAATATTCTATTTTTACACTAATCTTAAAGTTCCTAATGCAATAGGAAAAATGTACACACTGTTTTCAGGCCAAAATGACCCCAATGCACTAGGAAGGTTATATAGACATAGCGCTTAAGAGCCAAGTGCGGTTCGAAATGCTCGGTGTTCCACGTTTCCGGAAGAGCTTAAACGCGTCAAACTTTTTGCGATAAATCTCAATGCATTGCTGATCCCACCAAGCGGAAGGAGGTTTCCTAAGGAATGACGTTCCTGGAGCCGGTCGAGTTTGAGCTTGAAGCGCGCTGTCCAAGATCAGATTGGAAAAGAAGTTATATTCCTCCAACGGTAGAAGCCCTTCTACCGACGTTAGTGCTTCATTTATCACAGTCTTGAACTTTGCCCAATCGATATTGCGGGTAAGATCGTTCGCCGACGTTAATGGGTTCAGACGGATTGAACCCAATGGGAACTGAAACTTTGATCATATTTCACGTGCAATCCAACGATAATGAATTAGAGCAAAGGGTGATGTCTAATCTACTTCCATTCGAGGATGGACCACCCAAACGTGTTACTTCTCCATTGTTAAGAATTGGCACCCAGATCGTATATCAAAATGAAGGGTTGTCAGCATACGCCCCAGCCTGTACCGTGGGCATTAAAATCTCCCATAATCAACCGTAGGAAGAACTGAACAGATATCTGATAGTTGTTTTCGATTTTCTGAAACTCGGGGAGGAATATAAACAGAAACAATACAAATGCTCTTAATTTTAGCCTGACATGCGTCAACTTCAAATTCAATAACTGGAAATTGCGGAAGATTCATTCTTTGATCCCCAAAAGCACCCCTCCTCCACGCGAATCCTCACGATCCAGTCGAAAAATGTTAAAATCATAAAAAGGAAGGTCGATATCTGTAGAGAGCTAGAGTTTCACAAAGAGCAAATGCCATTCCTTTATTTAACGTCGGTCTCTGTTCCGCAATCTAGTGCCAATCACCGACGGCATGCTTGTCATTAACAGTTTTGGTCACGAACTGCTCATTTGCTAATAACTTTGCACAGAGTTGACAAAACATATTGTTTTTTGAAGCAGTCGATAGAATAGACTTTAAGCTTGTTATAGATTCGTAAAAAAAAGTAGATTTTAATTCTAGTAATAAACTGTATTTGTTTCTGTGTTGTAAAAATGCAGTGAGAAATGCTCGCTGCACATCTCGGACTTTAGGTGTAAAAATTCATTGGTGTTGATTCAAATGTTAAGATTTACCTACTCTTTGCATGTCTATAGAAAACTATGATCCTAATCTATCAATTACTTTAAAGAAAAATAAATTTTAACAACTGAGTGAAAAGTTATTAACAAAGGAGCAGTGAATGTGTACAACTGTGCATGCCAAGCATGACCGACGAACATCGATTGCCATCAATTGACGGCAATCGAATGTGCAGGAAGGCAGCTTCCACACCTGCGATAATCGCACCCATTCAAGCACACATGGGCCGGCACGCACGGCTTTACTTCCCTTCCGAAGGAAGACGTGACCAGAGATGTTTATGCCTTAGAAAAATCCCACCGACCTCGGCTGGGATTGAACCCAGACCCATTGGGGTGAGAAAGCAGTCACGCTTACCACTACACCACCGGCGCCGGCTCAAAGAGCAAATGCATCACAATCGTTATTGCGAACTAAGAACTTAAAATATTCTAATTTGGGAATATGAATTCGACAACTCCACTGTAGAACAGTGATCAAGTCGGGGACTTTGGAAAATTATCCATCGAAAAGGGAGAGAGGGTCTCTTTACAGTAGGAAGCATTGTCAAAACAATGCTTTTCAGAGGTTAAAAAATATCGAGGTACTTAAGGATACCGTCCACAATGTCATCAAATGAGAACAACCCAGCTGAAGAAGGGGCTTCTGTTCTTAAAATTAGGGCATCGGGGGATTTGGATGTCCCCGAAAGAGGTGAAAAATTCTGGGTATAGTCAGTTCTGCGGAATCCAGGAGGAGTAGAAGTATCCTTTTTTCCACCACTCCTTGATTTGGGCAAGCTGATTTGGGGTTCCTGATACAGGTATACCTCGATATAACATAACTGTCACTATTGACTTCCATTGTCAATATCTCGCTAATAACAATTGAATCATACAAATTAATAATGCCAATAGATGAGGGATTATCTCATCTGTCCGATGGTGTTATTACTGTACTTGTTTGAATGATCGTCTACGAAAAATTAGCGATGGAAGTCAAAAGTGACAGTTACGTTATATCGAGGTATATACCATGAGGATGACGGGTTACACAACCGTGTGGCACCGTTTTCAATTTGAACCACACAATTTCTTTGAGTGCAACATTTATATTTTATCTCATTTATCCCAGTTATCCACACTCAATGTAACACTGACACGCACACTACTTTGCTACCACTCTGCTACGAATCTAATAGCGAATTTGTTTATTATTCAGTTCCAACCTGAATCGGGTATCAAGATCGGGTCTGCTTGTTTTCTGACAAACGTCAGTTTGATCGTTTGTTTTTAAAACCTAACTCAGGTTGAGGTTCGCACTGACAAAAAGTTCGGTTTCGCACTGGGTTGGAACTGGTTCCAACCCCGATAATAAACAAATTCGCTATTAAACTGAATAAAGATCATTCCACAGACAAACAGACATAACACATTGAATATTTCTCACTGTAAAACATCGTCGCTAAACCATTACCGCCATCTGTTGAGTATACTGTGGTGGGCACTATACTGAACAGATGGCGGTAGTGTGTAAACGTCAAACGCAAGGGAATTTACTATGCGCGCCACAGGTGGCGGTACTACCAACTGCGATTTTTTTAAATTGTCCGTTAAATGCTTGTTCGATGAATAAATTGCGAGTGTTATGTCTGTTTGTCTGTGATCATTCCATAGTTGTCACCCTTGTGAACCGTACGCGTATTTTCGCTAGTACCTACCTGAGTACCTGATGGGCGACGACTCGTTGAATTCAAATCTGCGCCGAACGAAGTAACCGTCTCCATTAGTCTCGGTCCTGAGCCAATCGCTTCTAGTCGCCTTGGACGTTCAAGGACCTAATGTCCTCCTCAACTGCACAAAGCCAACGCGTGCGTGGCCTACCCCGAAGCCGACGTCCTCTTCCGGATTCCCTGCTGAATATTGACTTCGCTTGACGCTCTTCCGGTATTCGTGCCACATGCCCAGCCCACTGTAGCCTGCCGTGTTTTATAAGCTTCACAATATCCATGCCGTTATATACTTGGTACAACTCGTGATTCATGCGACGCCGCCAGATGCCATTTTCCAGTTTACCGCCGAGTATTGTTCGCAGCACTTTACGCTCGAAGACACCGAAAGCTCTCCGATCGGCCTCTTTCAATGCCCACGATTCGTGGCCATAAAGGGCTCCCGGCAGAATCAACGTCTTGTACAGCGCGAATTCCGTTTTCGTACGCAAGCTGCGGGAGTTCAGCTGGCTACGCAACCCGTAGAAAGCCCTGTTCGCAATACGCTTTTTCACCTCGCGGGTAACATCATTATCGCACGTCACTAAAGTACCAAGATAAACAAATTCGTCCACAACTTAAAATTTTTCGCCATCTAGCATCACTTCACTACCAACACCACTATTGCTCCCACGCTTTCTACCAGCGACCATGTACTTCGTTTTGGTAGAATTTATCGTGAGACCAATCCTCGCTGTCTCCCTCTTAAAAGGCGCGAACGCCTCTTCCACTGCTCTACGGTCGATTCCGATGATGTCGATGTCGTCCGCAAAACCAAGGAGCGCTCCTTCGAGAGCGATGTTGAATAGCAAGTTCGAAAGAGCATCTCCCTGCTTCAACCCATCTAAGGTCACGAACGAGGCCGAAATCTCGTCTGCACCCCGTACACATGATTTCGAACCATCCAGCGTTGCACGAATCAGCCTAATTAGTTTCGTCGGAAAACCGTTTTCTTGCATTATCTGCCATAGCTCGTTTCTCTTTACTGAATCGTACGCTGCCTTGAAATCTAAGAACAGATGATGAGTCTGCAAGTTGTATTCCCGGAACTTCTCAAGGGTTTGACGCAGGGTAAACATTTGATCCGTCGTTGATCGACCCTCACGAAAACCAGCCTGGTATTCGCCGACGAAGGATTCCTCAAGCGGTATCAATCTGTTGAACAGAACACGTGATAATATTTTGTACGCCGAATTCAGAAGCGTGATTCCTCTGTAATTGGCGCACTCCAGTCTGTGTCCCTTTTTGTAGA